ATATTTTGGCCATTCGGCCTCCATATTGAGTCTTTTCCGAGCCTTAGCTTCCATTGGTGACAACCACCTTGGGGTCTTGTTTTCTAATAAGTCTTTGTATTTTGTCCAGACATTAAATATCGCTTTCCTGACAATATGGTTCTTGAAAGCTTTATGAACCTTTACCTTGTCGTACCACAAATAAGCATGCCATCCAAAAGCATTGTTAAACCCTTCCAGATCCAGGACATCAGTGTTCTCAAAAAGAATCCAATCTTTCAACCAGCAGAAAGCTGCAGCTTCATAATATAACTTTAAATCCGGCAGGGCAAACCCCCCTCTTTCCTTTGCATCAGTTAATATTTTAAATTTTATTCTGGGCTTTTTGCCCTGCCAGACAAACTTAGAGATATCTCTCTGCCACTTTCCAAAACATTCCACTCTGTCCACAATCTGTAGGGTCTGAAACAAAAATAACATTTTTGGCAACACATTCATCTTTATAGCAGCAATTCGGCCCAACAAGGAAAGTTTCAATCTTGACCAAATTTCTAAGTCCTTTTTAATTTCTGACCAACATTTTTCATAATTATCTTTAAATAAATTCAAGTTTTTGGCAGTCAAATTAACCCCTAGGTATTTCACCTTTTTAACCACCTTTAAATCTGTCTCTTTCTGAAACCTTTCTGATTCCAAAGATGTCAATTTTTTCCCCAAAACCTTAGTTTTTTGCTTGTTTAGTTTAAATCCCGCCACCCGACCAAACTCATGAATCAATTCTAAAACTCTTTTCGTACTAGATTCTGGCTCCTGTAATGTTAAAACCAGGTCATCTGCAAAAGCTTTAAGTTTATACTGTTTGGCTCCGACCTGAATCCCTTCAACCAACCGGTCCCCTCTGATCATATTCAAAAGCACCTCCAGAACCGTGATGAGATGTTGTCAAAGGCCTTCTCTGCATCTATAAAAATTAACACTGTTTTTGTATTAATGTTCGTTTGCAAAAGTTCCAAAATGTCAATAATATTCCTGGTGTTATCAAACAGGTGTCTACCTGGGAGAAAACCTGCCTGGTCTTTATGAATTACTTCATTTAACACTTTTTTAAGTCTACTTGCCAAAATGTCTGCAAAAAATTTGTAATCCATATTCAGGAGCGAGATGGGGCGGTAGTTCTTAAGTAGAGTCTTTTCAGTTTCCGATTTAGGTATCAATGTGATGAAAGCTTCTTTCCATGATTCCGGTGCCTTCCTCCCCTCCAAAATCTCATTACAAACCTCCATTAATGGTTGTGTCAAATAGTCTTTCAATGTCCTATAATACTTGGAGGTAAGTCCATCTGGCCCTGGAGACTTGCCTAGTTGCATATTCTGGATGGCACCTTCAATTTCTTGTTGTGTTATTTTATAGTTCAAAATTGTTCTCTTTTCCTGAGATAGTTTAGGTAGTCCATTTTTTAAAAAAAATTGGTCTATCTCAGTCTCTTTTTCCGGCCCTTGCGTATAAAGTTGTTTAAAGTATCTCTGGAAGCACTTTCTAATTTCCTCCGGGTTCTGAACATTTCTCCCTTCAAACTCTAGGTTTGTAACCGTGTTCAATTTTTGCCTCTTTTTCAACTGCCATGCTAGCAGTTTTCCACATTTATTTGCTGATTCAAATGTCCTTTGTTTCATTAACTTAATTTTCCACTCAACTTCTTGATTTATCAGTTTGGCGTATTGTGCTTGGTGAAATTTAATTTCTCTCAGGATCTCCTGAGACTTTGGTTTCAATCTTAACTTTTTCTCTCCTTCTCTTATTTTCTCCAAAATCTTATCCTTTTTCTCATTCTGTGCTCTTTTCTTTATCGTATTCTGTTGTATCAGAAACCCCCTCATAACAGCTTTACTTGCATCCCAGATTACTCTTTTTTCCACTGTGGTGTTCAAATTTATCTCAAAATACTCTCTTAAAGTCTTTTGGGCCTTCTTAGTAATCTCCTGGTCTCTTAACAAGGTGTCATTCATCTTCCATCTGAAGGAGCCGGTTGGAATTAGTCTCATTTCCATTTTCATTGCATTATGGTCGGAGCAGGTTTTTGGGCAGATTTCCACTTTTCTAGTCTTAGGTGCCAGTCCTCAAGTTATCCATATTTGGTCGATTCTTGTCCATGTCAGATGAGCTTCAGAAAAGAATGTTCCTTCTTTTCCTAGGGGGTTCTTTGTCCTCCAAATATCAATCAAGTCCATGTTGTCAGTTAGCTCAAAAAAGGTTTTTGGTAGTCTGCCGTCTTTTGTCATACTTTGGTTTTGTGACTTATCCATGTTTGTAGAAACCACCCCATTCATATCTCCCATCATAATGATGTTGCTATAGTCCAGATAGTCCAGCATTGTCTCATGCAGCTTCTTGTAGAATTCTGATTTCCCCTCGTTCAGTGCATAAATTCCCAATATCAAAAACTTTTCACCTTGGGTTTGTATCTCTATTGCCAAAATTCTTCCTTGCTCATCTTTAAATAGGAATTTGGGTGATAGGCTCTCCTTTGCGTAAATCACCACTCCTCTTTTCTTAACTCTGTCCGATGAAATAAATTCTTGGCCTAATCTCTTGTTAATTAACACTTTTCTGTGGAGCCTAGTCACGTGCGTTTCCTGCAAGCAAATAATGTCCAATTGTTCTTTCTTTAATACATGGAATATTCTTCTCCTTTTTTCCGGGGAATTACCGCCATTAATGTTCCAACTGAGAAGTTGCAGAGACATCCTGGATAAATCTGCTATTCGCTTGGTGGTGGCGTTTCTTTTTTCTGATCTTCAGGCCCCAAAGGTGTGGGTATAGGCAGAGGTGTAGGAGCAGGCAAAGGCCCAGGCCCTGGAATTCCAAAAATCCCTTTCTGAAGGTCTTCTCCGTAGTCGTTCAGAAACTTTTCTTTGTCCTCGGTTGTTTTTATTTTCACTTTCTTCCCTCTAAATGTAAAAGATAGTCCTTGGGGAAATTCCCACCTAAAAGGAATCGAGTTGCTCCTCAGCAGTTTAGCAAGCTCTGTATATGTAGATCTGAGATCCAAAAGTTGTTTGGGATATCTTTGTAGATTTCTGCCCTCCTGCCTTGGATTACAAGTGACTTTTCGTAATGTAGGCTTAGTATTTTATCTCTTTCTTCCTTGGATCTCAAAGTAATCAAACAGTCTCTAGGTTTGTCTTTCCTTGCTACTCTTCCAAGTCTAAAAGCAGTCACAATTTTAAACTTATCTTCTTCCAGGGGCCAAAACTTAGCAAATTCTTTTGTTAGAAAGTCAATTAAATCCCCTTGTTCCAATTCAGAAATTGACCTCAGTCTCAGGTTATTTTCCCTACTACGTAATTCTATCATAGACAGGTAGGCCTGCTGTTCACCAACCTGTTTGTATAGTGGTTTTACCTCCTCTTTTGCTGCTTCAGCTTTTTGATTGGCTTCCACAGCTAATTTGCGATTTTCTGTGGTGGCTTCCTGAAGGTTCCCAATTGCTTGTGCATGCTGAGCAACTTGTTCAGTCAGTTTATTAACACTGGCTGTAGCTTGGTCAATTTTAGCCGAATGCTCATCTGCCTTTTTGTCCAAACTTTCCAATTTTCCCAAAATTTGTTCTAATACTGAGGCAGATCCTCCTGCAGCCATACCTTCTAGTGAAGTCTGCTCCGTTTCTTCCTCTTGTGCCACCAAGATAGCAGGAACAGATGATCTGCGTAGCTGTGTAGCCAAAGTTGTTTGCATTAATTGTTTAGCTTTCGCTTTAGCCGATCTTGTTTTCCCAAAGCCACTCATTCCACTCCTGTCTACGTGTCAAGGTCAAACCATGTATGTTCCCATGGGAATCCACAAGTCCAGAGAGTAAACACAAGACAGGAAAAGGCAGATACAAAAAACAGATCCCAGACAGCTGTTAACCCAAAATCCTCTAGGGGGAGTATGAAAGTATCTCGAGGGAGAGAATAAGGTTGTTACTCCATTAATGTCCAAACAGCCTTAAAGAAGCCCTTCAGCCCTCTTATAGTAACAGAACAAGTCCTTAATGTAAAACAAAGTCTCTAAGAAGTGCGAGAAACAGTATCTCAATGTATCTAGACCAGTGTTTCCCAACCTTGTGCCTCCAGATGTTTTTGGCCTACAACTCCCATCATCCCTGACTAGCAAGACCAGTGGCAAGGGATGATGGGAATTGTAGGCCAAAAACAGCTGGAGGCACAAGGTTGGGAAACACTGATCTAGACCAATAGCGCTCCAATGTATCAGTTCCGGTAGCTAAGCAAAGTCCGCAATTTGACAGTTCTATTTAATCTGGCAGTCCGAGTTTTTGGGCTTCTTAAAACATTTGTAAATCCACAAGGAGGAGGTAAAGCCAAGTCCAAAGCCAAAAAGGAAAAGGAAATTTACCTCACTTAGTCTCTATTAAAGCAGCTCAAATGATACACGAATGAAAAGTTTTTAATGCCACTTCAAAGGCTTCCAGCTGATCAAAGTCTTTTGCTTTAAATCCTTAAGCAGTGCCGGGAGATGGACTTCCTGGTTGCGTCTCCCACTTTAGCTGAATTTTAATTCAATTTAGTCCCCAAATTCTTCAGTCCCTCTTACTCACAGGTTAGTAGTTTTCAAATCAAATGTTCCAGGAAAAAAGGTCAGCGCTCATCGGCATCAGCTAAGCGGCTGCACGTCCGCAGAAAGAGCGATCGACTCACAGCACCGCGCCAGCCCTTCCACGTTCCGAGACTCCTTACGGGGTTCGTTCTTCGTTTCGGGGGGGGCTTCTGGTGCCCGCCGAGTCCCACGGCCACAGGCTCACTCTACCTGTGGTTTTCCAGTGTGGGTCTCCACTTTGCCGTAGCAGACGACCCGTTTCTGCAGAGCTTCCCCTTCACAGCGCAAAGGGGACCGCCATTACCATTTCGCGCCGCCTCCGGAAGTCTGAGTCCTTTTTTTTAATGCATGGTCTCCCCAGCAAGCTCTCTGCAGCGCTACCATACTGCAAATAGCCAACACTTTCCACACTCTATACATTTATATGGTTTCTCCTCTGTGTGAGTCTGTTGATGATTACTAAGGTGTGCACGCTGACTGAAGCTCTTTCCACACTCCATGCATTTAAATGGTTTCTCCCCTGTGTGAGTCCGTTGATGTCTTCTAAGGTTTCCAATTTCTTTAAAGCTCTTTCCACACTCCATACATTTATATGGTTTCTCCCCTGTGTGAGTCCGTTGATGTGATCTAAGCTCTCCACTCTGACTGAAGCTCTTTCCACACTCCATGCATTTAAATGGTTTCTCCCCTGTGTGAATCCGTTGATGATTTCTAAGGTGTGCACTCTGACTGAAGCCCTTTCCACACTCCATACATTTATATGGTTTCTCCCCTGTGTGAGTCCGTTGATGTCTTCTAAGGCTTCCACTTTCATTAAAGCTTATTTCACACTCCATGCATTTAAATGGTTTCTCCCCTGTGTGAGTCCGTTGATGATTTCTAAGGTCTGCATTCTGACTGAAGCTCTTTCCACACTCCATGCATTTAAATGGTTTCTCCCCTGTGTGAGTCCGTTGATGTCTTCTAAGGTTTCCACTTTCTTTAAAGCTCTTTCCACACTCCATACATTTATATGGTTTCTCCCCTGTGTGAGTCCGTTGATGTCTTCTAAGCTCTCCACTCCGACCGAAGCTCTTTCCACACTCCATACATTCATATGGTTTCTCCCCTGTGTGAATCCGTTGATGATTTCTAAGGTGTTCACTCTGGCCGAAGCTCTTTCCACACTCCATGCATTTATATGGTTTCTCCCCTGTGTGAGTCCGTTGATGTGATCTAAGCTCTCCACTCCAACTGAAGCTCTTTCCACAGTCCATGCATTTAAATGGTTTCTCCCCTGTGTGAATCCGTTGATGTTTTTTAAGGTCTGCATTCTGACTGAAGCTTTTTCCACATTCTATACATTTATATGGTTTCACCCCTGTGTGAGTCTGTTGATGTCTTCTAAGGTGTCCACTCTGACTGAAGCTCTTTCCACAATCCATGCATTGAAATGGTTTCTCCCCTGTATGAGTCCATTGATGTTGCCTAAGGTGTGCACTATTATTAAAACTCATTTCACACTCCATAACTTGAAATGGTTTCTCCCCTGTGTGAGTCCGTTGATGTCTTCTAAGGCTTCCACTATCATTAAAGCTCTTTCCACACTCCGTACATAAATATACTTTTTCCCCTGTGTGAGTCCGCTGGTGTGTTCTAAGTTTTGCATTGAAAGAGAATCTCTTTCTGCACTCAATACCTTTAAATGGGTTCTTTCCTTTTTCTGTCCGTTGATGTGAACTCTGTGTGCTCATTCAGTGAAGCATATTCCACATTTCACACATTTTAATGGCTATTCCCAATGAAATGAAAGGTGCCTTGTCCCCTGCAATTCTGTCTCCACCATCACCTTTTTCAGAGTGGGCAGAAAGGAAATCCTGTTTGGGCTTCAGGAAAAAGAACACACACACAAAAAAAGGATACATCAATCGCCATTAGCACCTTCTCTTATTTCAACATCTCCTACATTCTCCCATGTCCTACCCATGTTCCCAATTTTTAGGAAATGAAAATGGTATGATGTCAAATGGTAGTAATGCATCAGCAACCTTTCATAATCCTCAATCATCTTTAATAACACAGCATGATCTTGGAATACTGTTGTCCTGTGGGACTGCCTTTCAAATCAAGTGGTTGCCCCCGTTTCCACCTCTAGTTCTTCATGAATCACCTGCACAGTCCGGCTGACCTCAGGAGGTCCATATGGACCATTTTGGGAGACCCAGGCCTTCATCTCTTCCAGGGACTGTGGTCTGGATCAGTCAGAGAACTAGTGACAAGGCTTGGTGCTTGGGGTCAGCTGAATGGGTGCTCAGGGAAGCTCCTGTTCTTGGAGATGAACCTCTGTCTACATGCCTTGCATTGCATGGAGAGAGCAGGAGAAGCAGAAGGAGAGCAGCTGGCAAATGGGAATCCCAGACACCCACCCAATGGTTCTTTATAATGATGATGTGCTGCCTGATCCTGTGCTTGTCTTCTGACAGAGGACTATCCTAATCTGGCACTGAAAAGCAGGATATTCAAGGCAAGGAGATAACTGTACTTAATCGTAGGTAGACATATTGGTCTGACACAGTTGAAGTAAAAAAATTAACAAAAATAGTCCAGTAGCAACTTAGGGTCTTGGGAGAAAAGTAATGACAAACCTAGACAGCATCTTAAAAAGCAAAGACATCACCTTGCCAAGAAAGGTCCTTATAGTTCAAGCTCTGGTTTTCCCAGTAGTGATGTATGGAAGTGAGAGCTGGACCATAAAGAAGGCTGATCGCCAAAGAATTGATGCTTTTGAATTCTGGTGCTGGAGGAGACTCTTGAGAGGCCCATGGACTGCAATAAGATCAAACCTCTCCATTCTTAAGGAAATGAGCCCTGAGTGCTCACTGGAAGGACAAATCCTGAAGCTGAGGCTCCAAGACTTTGGCCACCTCCTGAGAAGAGAAGACCCCCTGGAAAAGACCCTGATGTTGGGAAAGTTGGAAGGCGCAAGGAGAAGGGGATGACAGAGGACGAGATGGTGGGACAGTGTTCTCGAAGCTACCAGCATGAGTTTGACCAAACTGCGGGAGGCAGTGGAAGACAGGAGGGCCTGGCGTGCTCTGGTCCAGGGGGTCACGAAGAGGCAGACACGACTAATCGATTAAAAAACAACAACAGCAACTTAGGGACCAACTAAGTTTGTTCTAGGTATAACTTTTTGTGTGCATGCACACTTCTTCATATAGTGAAGGGTAGTGGGAGATGGTAGTAGGAGTACCCTTCTGAGAAAAACCCCACCCCAACCTCCCACGATATACAAGGGTCTGGTGACATCTGTGTCAGTGTATCTGAAGAAGTGTGCATGCACACGAAAACTTATACCTAGAATAAATCTGGTTGGTCTCCAAGGTGGTATTGGACTATTTTTTAATTTTTTATTTCAACTGCAGCAGACCAATACGGCTACCTACCTGAATCTAGATGTCATGGGGTGTTGGGGAGCCGTAGTTCCTTGGATGGGGGACATGTCCTGCACCTCCTGGGGTCATTTTTCCACCCTTGGTCCCCACCCTGCACTCAGCTCTCACCTGTGGCTTCCAGAAGCTGTCAGCATGCAACAGGGCTTCAAGCAACGGCTTCAACCGGCCGGCTAAACCAGGTGAGGAAAGCTGATGGGTCTCAAATCCTTGGGGGGCCTGGGGAATTCTGCTGCACCTGAAGTCAAGTCCTGGTGGATGGAGAGTAGGAGAACAACCGTGAATCCCACAGTCCAGAAGGCAGATTCTGCCCGTGCGGAAGAGGAACGTGAAGGGCAGATGGGGCACGTCCACCTGGAGGCTTGTTATCTAGTCCCAGGGTTTCTCTGACATGAATTATATATAAATTACAGTATTGAAATGCGCCTGCTCCCACTTCATATTCTGATATTACTCTACTCTGCTTGGCTGTTTCTTACTTGAGTGCTGTTTTGGCCCCTGCCTTGGCCCTGTGCAACTGAAGGAGCATCTTCACCCCCATTGCTCAGTCCGGACAGGGAGGACCTCCTCCGAGAGTCTTCTACTGGTTTCCTTGCTGTTAGAAGTGAAGTTCCAGGGAACCAGGCAGAGGGCCTCCTGCCCCATGAATGCCCTCCCTTCCGAGGGCAAGGAAGGAGGCAACCATCTGACATTTAGAAGACAGCTGTATCAGGAGGTTTGTAATGTTTGATGTTTTACTGTCTTGTATATGTACTGTACTGTCGGGAAGGTAAACGGCATTTCCGTGCGCTGCTCTGGTTCACCAGAAGCAGCTCAGTCATGCTGGCCACATGAACCGGAAGCTGCACACCAGGCTCCCTCGGCCAATAAAGCGAGATGAGCGCTGTAACCCCTAAGTCGGCCACGACTGGACCTAAAGGTCAGGGGTCCCTATACCTTTACCTATATGTACTCTAAGCTGCCCAGAGTGGCTGGGGGAAAAGACGAATACTATAATTTCTACAGTGGTACCTCGTTTTACAGATGCTTCAGGTTACAGACTCTGCTAATCCAGAAATAGTACCTTCTGTTAAGAACTTTGCTTCAGGATGAGAACAGAAATCGCACGCTGGCAGCAGGAGGCCCCATTAGCTAAAGTGGTGCTTCAGGTTAAGAACAGTTTCAAGATAAGAACGGACCTGCAGAACAAATTCAGTTCTTAACCCGAAGGACCACTGTACTATTATTATTATTATTATGAGATTTTTTTGTAGTTAATTTGGAATTCGTACTGCAATATCAGCTCACGAAATGTTATGGGTGGAGAAAATCACAGGGTTGCTGTAAAATATAATCCCACCCAGGAAATCTCATTCACATACAGTCTATAATTTTGGGGATGTCACACACCTCACCTGTGCTAATACTGGCAGTCTTTGGCCTGCACAGGCAAACCCGGTGTGTAGAGCCTCCAGCCACAGGCACTGTCTATCATGAAAATGGGTCCTTTGACTGGGAAGATTCATGCAGTCGCTGTCATCGGATGATGAAGGATTGTATCCCAGCTTCTCAGTCACTCTGACATTGCCTAGGAAGAATAAGAGGAACAGAAATGCTTTTTACGGAAATGACTGGCAGAATCCGAGACCAGGGAGAAGAGTTGATGGAAGAAGATTGGAAAAATTTTAAAGACTATCTACAGAAATATTGCAAAATTAATGAATGCTAGAATGATGTTGGATAGAAACTAAGTGGTCTTTAGCTGTAATGTTATAAGGGAATACGAAAAAATTGATTATTAATAGGTAAAAATTTAATGTTACAATACTTTATGATTAAAGACTAGGATATACAAAGAGGGGGGGGATTTGCTGAACTAATAATTTGAACCGGAATACAAAAAAGGGAGGCGTGAGGAGGTCCGGGAAACAAGCAAATGAAAGATAAGTAATGGAAAGAATGAATTGTTTTTAACCATTTTTATTTTGTATTTTTCCTTTTCTTTTCTTTATTCTGTAATATTCTGAAAATCTTAATAAATATCTTTAAAAAAAGAAAAGAAATGCTTTTGAGGTGCAACTTCTATATCAATCCTGAGAGCCATTCCATGGACTCTGCACCCCTGTTTCTGATGACAGGTGTACATTATCCTCATCCTCAGTGGAAAAGACAATAAAGATGGAAGCCTGAGAGAGAGGAAAAGGTTTCTGGCTGCTTCCTGGGTGGGATTGCGGAAACAAAGAGCCGCGTCTGAGAAGGCCTCTCCCCTCCCATCTTCCTCTCGGGATTTCCTCTCCTCTTCAGGGGACCAATGGTTGGACTGGGCAGAAGCGCTGGGAAGAGGATGGAGATTGCAGGATGGAAGGGTGGGGGGCAGGACCCCCACTTTCCAGGGATCCCTCTCTGGTCGCCTTGAAGGGGGGGGGCATTCCTGGGCGGAAGGGCGAAGCCAAGGCGGCCCCTTCGAAAGGCTGCCCAAGGAAGCCACGATTGAGACGCCCCCCCAAAAAACTGGTCTTCCTATCTCCCCCCCCCAGTGCTCCTCTTCCCTTCCCCCTCCCTCTCTCCCGCAGTTTCCCCTGCACTCTAGCGCGACTGACACCTCGCCCTGCGCGCCCCATCTCTCCGTCCCTATTGCCCCCCCGAACAGGAGCAAGGGAGGGACTGGGGGGTCTCTATCCTGGCTTCTCTCCGCGCCCCAGGGATGCCTGCTCGGGGCTAACGGGGCCAGGGCGTCCTCGTGAGTGGGCGCCCCATCTCCGCCCCTTCGCAGCAGGCGTGCCGGGATCCAGGCCCCACGGAAGGCGCTTGGGGGAGCTGGCGGGGGTCTCTGGGTCCTCTTCTCCCCCTCCCTCTCCTCCCCCCCCCGCGACCCCTTTACCTCTTTGTCCTCGCTCCCGATTCTCCTTTCCTGCAACATCCACGGGGGGGGGGTCCCTGCCTCCTCCCTCCCCTTTCCGAAAGCGCCCCCCCTAGAGATATGCCGCAGAGCAGCAATCCGGAGTGGAAGCTCCACTTGCGGGACAAGCAGGCCGGGTGGGAGGGGGCTCACCCCCCCATTCCTTCAGCAGAAGAGCCGGATTGGAGGAGGAAGGGGTGGGATGTTTGGGGACGGGATCTGGGGTTGTGGGGGCGGGGTGAGAGGAGGATGTGCCGGGAGGGGATTGAAAGAATTGGGGGGGAGGAAGATTTCCCCCTCCCCTTATCCTTCTGGGATCAGGAGAGCGGGGGAGGGGCTGATCCCGGAGGTCCCTCCTACAAGGTTGGCATTGCAACATCCTCCCCTCCGCCACCCCACGGCTTAGATCCCTCCGTGTTTTACGTCTTGGCGCTGTTCAAACCAGGAACGGGGGGGGCAGCTAAACGACCCCCCAAATCCCAGCTCCCCACCCCAGCCTCTGCCTAAGGCCAGGACAAGGACCGTGGACACTGTAGCAGGAACCCCCCCCCAAATCATTCAGTTTCTACAAACTTCACACACACTCACACTCACACACTGCATACGCTATACTTCTTTTCTAAATTCAAGAAAATCAACCATACATCGGATTTGCCCTGTTCCATGAAGGAAGGACTACAAAATGGGGAAGGTTTGATACAGGGCAGCCATAATCCCTTCACCATCCCAGCACATCCACAGGAGCCCTGCCCAGTTGCTATGCCAACCCTGATGGTCCCAGACAGAAGACCATCAAGATCACAAAGAACTTGCATATGGGAGTGGATTCAGCATGGACTGGAACAAAGGACAATAATCAGCTCTTCCCTCAGGGGGCAGGAAACTGCAAACTCCCCTCTCTCACCTGTAAAGCACTCCTGGGGAGGGGGAGAAGGGAACCAGCCAGGTGACAGGACACTCAGGTTACCACCACAACTCCTCCCTCAACCCCTCCTTTCTGTGATGTATGTATGATGTTTCTGGGGGTGGTCTTGATTTACAGGGTGGCAATTTCAAAAGTCTTTATAAGCCCTTGCACAGCATTTTTCTGGGTCTTTCCACTCTCCTGCAAGTGAGGGGAGCACCCTGTTGCAACAGTTCAATAAAGGCCAAGCCTACAGGCTGCTGTTTTGCTCCAAGTTATCCTGGTTGGTGTCTTTGTTTTTGTCCAAGGGAGCCCTCAGATTTTTCCATTAACAGACACAGGCACCGTCCATGCACAACAGCCAAGAGGCTCAGAAAAGCAGCCGATACAATTGTAGAAAGAAGCAGATTCCATGTCTTAAGGGAGAAATCTGAGGGCTCCCTTGGACAAGAAACAAGGAGACCAGCCAGGAAGAGGAGAGCAAAAGAGCAGCCAGTCGGCTTGGTCTTGATTGAAGACTGTCGCCACAGGACTCCCACCTGCCCCCAGGTGGAACAAGATGGAAGCCCCCAACAAAAGAAGACCCCAACTTTTATTAGCTGCTAATCCCCCATGCTACACCCCCAAGACTACATCATGATTACATCATGACTACATCATTGACACATCACAAAGAGGAGGGGTTCAGGAAGAAGAAGAAGTTTGGATTTGATATCCCGCTTTATCACTACCCAAAGGAGTCTCAAATCTGCTAACATTCTCCTTCCCCTTCCTCCCCCACAACAAACACTCTGTGAGGTGAGTGGGGCTGAGAGACTTCAGAGAAGTGTGACTTCTTTGAAGGAGGAGGAGTTGTGGTGGTAACCTGAGGGTCTTCTCACCTGTCCGGTTCCTTCTTTCCCCTCCCCATGATTACATTCCTGAGGACAAAGAGGAGTTCACTGTTTCCTTCCCCCAGAGGGAAGGGCTGGTCACTGTCCTGTGTTTCAGTCCATACTGAATCCACTTCCATATGCAGGTCCTTTGTGAGTGGAATGATCTTCTGCCTAGGACTATCACGGTTGGCATGCCAATTGAGTAGGGCTCACTGCGGACGTGTTGGCTGTGATACGGAACGGGGGGGGGGCATGTCTTCTTCACCTCCTTCTTCGCTACAATATATCCATTTATTTCCATCTGCCAAGCCCTTCCCCCGGGCGATGCCAGGTGACAGACTATGCAAACATGGACCATTGTCTTCTCAGGATGTGCTTATCTGCGCATATCTCCAGCTCTCTGCATATTCCCCCCTCCCTCCTCCATCCAGCTCTCTGCATATTCCCCCCTCCCTCCTCCATATGTTAATCTGTGTAACCCAACCTCTTAATGTATTCATGATGTAACTGGGATGTATTTTGCACTGTATTCTGGGATATGGAGGGAAATTTCAAAAGTTCATGTCACCCCTTTCTCGCTGTTCAATCTCGCCTTGAACCTGTTGCGCAATAAACTTGGATCTTCTGCAGTTTGCTCCTGCGCCCGGCTGAGCTCATTTTCTTCCGCAGGGACCCACGGACTTAGTCCGATGAGCTGGGTGGCAGAGTAACCCCGCACCCAGATTTTAGCCGTAACAGCTGCCTTGTGTCAAGTTTCCCCCCTTTGATAGTCCTTCCCTCATGGTGCAATATAAAAGTCGAACCGTGCAGATCCGATGTATGGCTGATTTTCTATGAATTTATAACAGAAGTGTTGCCTATGTCGTGTGTGTGTGTCGTGTTTGTACAAACTGAATGATTGCAACACATGAATCCCAATCCCAAAGAAGGGCAGTGCCAAAGAATGCTCCACCTACCGCACAATTGCGCTCATTTCACACACTAGCAAGGTTATGCTTAAAATGCTACAAGGAAGGCTCAAGCAGTATGTGGACTGAGAACTCCCAGAAGTGCAAGCTGGATTTAGAAGAGGCAGAGGAACCAGAGACCAAATTGCAAACATGCGCTGGATTATGGAGAAAGCTAGAGAGTTCCAGAAAGACATCTACTTCTGCTTCATTGACTATGCAAAAGCCTTTGACTGTGTCGACCACAGCAAACTATAGCAAGTCCTTAAAGAAATGGGAGTGCCTGATCACCTCATCTGTCTCCTGAGAAATCTCTTTGTGGGACAAGAAGCTACAGTTAGAACTGGATATGGAACAACTGATTGGTTCAAAATTGGGAAAGGATTTTGACAAGGCTGTATATTGTCTCACTGCTTATTTAACGTAAATGCAGAATTCATCATGCGAAAGGCTGGGCTGGATGAATCATGTAATAAAAAATTTAAGGTCTTATATATATAATAAATGTTCATAAATGTACCAACCAAGCACATACATAGATATGTCGACCACATGTCTGGAGCAGCTCAGGAAGACCGCCCTGAAACCATTTTGACTCCCAATCTGACCAAATGTTTTCTCTGCAAGGAGGGAGGGGGTCAGGGAACCTTCCCATTGTCTCAGGAATTGGGAAATCACCATCTCAAAGGAATGGCCAGACTACCAGGAAAGGGAATCAGATAAGGCATTATCAGATAACCTGCAGACAGGAAAAACGACAACATTCACATTTCTGTTGTAGACCGCCTTTTCTGTGATGTAGGTATGATGTTTGTGGGGGGTGGTCTGGGGTTACACCCCTTCTGTGATGTATGGAGGGGTCTTGAGCTCCAGGGCTTGAGCTCCCATTCAATTTCAGTATTTCAAGTTTTCTTCAGAACGTGCAGGGCAGGAGGCAGCGATGAAGTTCTGGTGAAGAAGCAGTGCTGGGAGATCATGCGGTGGGGTGTGTGTGTGACAGAGTTTGGTGCAAAAACCAAAGGTACTTTCATCTAAAATTATACTCACTATTGTGAGATGTTCCCTTCATTATTTTATTATTATACAGTTTTACATATAAACACCAGAACTTCACATATACCTCATGCTTTTAAAGTGCCCTTTCCCTGCGCCCATTTCCCATTTCATTTCCCTGGGTAGGAGCTAGTAGTGTATTTTATGAATGAACAGACTATCTGCCTAAGGGAGTGTCCTGACCAATCAGCCTGCACAGAGCGCAGCCTCCAGCCAATCAAGACAATGCATTTGGTCTGCAGTGTCAGCTCTTGCAGGCCTCCTTTACCTTCTGACAAGCTGTTGACAGCTCCCTGCTCTGAGAAGAATGAACTGACACCTCGTATCCTTGCTAATCCCCTCAAAATTGATATTGTATCAATTTGTTTCCAAAATGAGCTGCCACTGCTAAAAAAATATAAAAATTCATAGAAAATCACCCGTACCACCGATTCTCTTGTTTTCAATAACAAACTGCTCAATTTCCTCAGGACTTCAAGACTGCCCAGTACCTTCCATAATCCCTCAAGCGGGAGGTCACAGTCACGTACACCCAGGAAAGACCTCATTGATGCCAAATCACCCAGTCTAGCCCTTCCTCCAGGCTCGGCCGGGTGACAGACTATGCAAACCAAGACCCCATTGTTCTCTTACCACCGGTACTCAGAACGTGCCTTTCAATACATGTTCCAACTCTGCATGTTTTCCCCTCCCTCCTCCATATGTTAATCCTGTAGAACCCACCCCTGTTCTGATGTAATCGTGATGTAGTGATGATGTAGCTGTGAGGGATGTGTTTGCTGCCAAGCTAGTTTAGAGATAACATTCCAGGCACCAAGCCACTTCTATCCGGTAGATTTATTACTGCAAATTCCAAGCCAACACCGGAGCTCCAAACGACGCGTCCGTGTTGCTTACTCAGTTGACGCTTCTGAATCTTCGTGACGTTTTCTAGACCAGCATGCCCAGCGAGACAGGGAACGCCTCTTATTTCCTCTCCTCTGAAAGTAGCTAGTTCCTGGAACAGACTGGCCACTCCCTAATTCAGTCTCCGATTCGGAAGACAAGCTGGAAAAGGGCTGTTTAGGCACTCGGTAAGTGCTTCCATGCCCCCACCTTCTCTGGCTGCCTCCCTTTCCCTGACAGTAGTGATGATGCTTTTGAACTGTATCTTGGGTTATGGTTAAGTTTTAAAAGTTCATGTCACCCCATCCTTGGGGGTCAATCTCACCTTGAACCTGTTGCGCAATAAATGTGGATCTTCTCCA